CTCCCATGGCTTGGGAGGGGCGAGAGCCCCTTCGAGATTGGATCTATCTATCTCTTTATGCATTCCCTGATTCTACCCCTTCACCGTTTCCTTTATATCTGGAGATCCATAACTCCGATTGGGGTGAATCATTCGCCCATATTTTTCTCATAAAATTAGCTTTCTTGCGGCAAAAGTAGAGCCTCAACCGCCTTACGGGTGGCCCATGAGAGCCCAGGGCGCGCAAAGGGGTAGGGGGCGCGCCCCCCTGTCTCATGGCCACCTTGGACACTGTTTCATATTGATTCTTCCTCCGGAAAATCCCAAATATTCCAAAATAATTCTCCGTCCATTTTTATCCCGTTTGGACTCCGTTTGATATTGGTTTTCTGCGAAACATAAAACATGCAACAAATAGGAACTGGCACTAGGCACTGGATCAATATGTTAGTCCCAAAAATACTATAAAAAGTTGCCAAAAGTATATGAAAGTTGAGGAATATTGGCATGGAACAATCAAAAATTATAGATACGACGGAGACATATCAGTAGCCCAAAACCATCACCGCACTCTTGTCGAAGTTGATCCTGAGGCCAGACATCTGCTAGAAGCACAACAGAAGGAACTTGAGGTTCGTGATATCACTCTCCGAGCCTTCCACCATGATAATGGTGTCATCCATATATTGGAGAAGGGAGATCCCATTCCCCCCAACAAGATGCGGGACTATACCCTTAATGTGACGGCAGCTTGCCTTTATCTAGGATGGCCGCCAGCGCATCGACAACCATGTTAAATAGGAACGGGGAGAAGGGATTGTTGGAAATATGCCCTAGAGGCAATAATAAAATGGTTATTATTATATTTCTTTGTTCATGATAATTGTCTGTTATTCATGCTATAATTGTATTATCCGGAAATCATAATACATGTGTGAATACATAGACCACAACATGTCCCTAGTGAGCCTCTAGTTGACTAGCTCGTTGATCAACAGATAGTCATGGTTTCCTGACTATGGACATTGGATGTCATTGATAACGGGATCACATCATTAGGAGAATGATGTGATGGACAAGACCCAATCCTAAGCATAGCTCAAAGATCGTGTAGTTCGTTTAGCTAGAGCTTTTCCAAATGTCAAGTATCATTTCCTTAGACCATGAGATTGTGCAACTCCCGGATACCGTAGGAGTGCTTTGGGTGTGCCAAACGTCACAACGTAACTGGGTGACTATAAAGGTGCACTACGGGTATCTCCGAAAGTGTCTGTTGGGTTGGCACGAATCGAGACTGGGATTTGTCACTCCGTATGACGGAGAGGTATCTCTAGGCCCACTCGGTAATGCATCATCATAATGAGCTCAATGTGACCAATTGTCTGGTCACGGGATCATGCATTACGGTACGAGTAAAGTGACTTTCCGGTAATGAGATTAAACGAGGTATTGGGATACCGACGATTGAGTCTCGGGATTGTAACGTACCAATTGACAAAGGGAATTGTATACGAGGTTGCGTAAATCCTCGACATCGTGGTTCATCCGATGAGATCATCGAGGAGTATGTGGGAGCCAACATGGGTATCCATATCCCGCTGTTGGTTATTGACCGGAGAGGCGTCTCAGTCATGTCTGCATGTCTCCCGAACCCGTAGGGTCTACACACTTAAGGTTCGGTGACGCTAGGGTTGTAGAGTGAGTATGCAGTAAACCGAAAGTTGTTCGGAGTCCCGGATGAGATCCCGGACGTCACGAGGAGTTCCGGAATGGTCTGGAGGTAAAGAATTATATATATGAAGTCGAGTTTCGGCCATCGGGAAAGTTTCGGGGGTCACCAGTATTGTACCAGGACCACCGGAAGGGTCCCGGGGGTCCACCGGGTGGGGCCACCTATCAGGGCCCCATGGGCTGAAGTGGGAGGGGAACCAGCCCCAGGTGGGCTGGTGCGCTCCCCTGCGCCTCCACTTGCCTTGGGGGGCAAGCCACCCCCTTGGCCGCCCCCCCCAGGAGATCCCATATCCTAGGGCCGGCGCCCCCCTTAGGGGCCCTATATAAAGAGGGGGGGGGAGGGCAGCTGCACCCATGCTCTTGGCGCCTCCCTCTCCCCTTGCTACACCTCTCCCTCTCACAGAAGCTTGGCGAAGCCCTGCCGAGATTGCTGCTGCATCCACCATCACGCCGTCGTGCTGCTGGATCTTCATCAACCTCTCCTTCCCCCTTGCTGGATCAAGAAGGAGGAGACGTCTTCCTAACTGTACGTGTGTTGAACGCGGAGGTGCCGTCCGTTCGGCGCTAGGATCTCCGGTGATTTGGACCACGACGAGTACGACTCCCTCAACCCCGTTCCCTTGAACGCTTCCGCTTGATCTACAAAGGTATATGTAGATGCACTCCTCTCTCTCGTTGCTAGATGAACTCATAGATTGATCTTGGTGAAACCTTAGGAAAATTTTTATTTTCTGCAACATTCCCAACAGGGATCGCCCTAGCGCATCCCACATAATGTGGGGAAGAATGGGCCGATATCCCCATTAATGTCCACCACGGTTCGACCCGAGGATACCATTTGCATCACCCTGGTCACCCACCTGTCGTCGAAGCCCTTACAGAGCAGACATTCCCGAAGGAAGGGCCAACTAACCGTGTCATAAGCCTTGTGGAAGTCAGTTTCAGGAAGACTGCCCTGAGGTGTTTGGTGTGAACGTCATGGAGTGCTTCGTGGAACACTAGGACTCCGTCGAGGATATAACGGCCCTGGATGAAGGCCGACTGGTCAGGGTGAGTGATCCGGTCGGCGATAGGGGTCACCCTATGGTGTACCCCTTCGCGAGGATGCGGAAGATGATGTTAATCACCGTAATCGGTCGGAATTGTCGGATATCCGAGGCCCCAGACACTTTGGGGATGAGGGTGATTACCCCAAAGTTCAGCCGGGCGAGGTCGATGGATCCAAAAAAGAACTCATCAAATAAGGCCACCACCTCAGGTTTGATCACCTCATAGAAAGTCTGGAAGAACTTCACTGGGAGACCATCCGGGCCGGGGGCCGAGGATGGGTTCATGCCCTTAATTGCCGCCCAAACTTCAGCCTCAGAGAACGGGGTCGTGAGGGCCGCGTTATCCGCAGGCGAGACGCAACTGTGGGCAGGCCAAATGTCTTGCGCAAGGGCAAGACCCCCCCCCCCGAGGGGAGGCAGAGAATAGGTCTCTGTAAAAGCCGTCTACATGGGCCCGGATGTCCTCCGGCAGCTGCAGGAGGGTCGCTCCATCCTAGAGGAGGGGGATGGAGTTACGGCGACGCCGGCCATTAGCTATGGCCTGGAAGTAAGCGGTATTGGCATCCCCCTTGAGGACCCAATTCTGCGTACCCCGCAAACGCCAATATGCCTCCTCGTCTGTGTAGATGACCGCGAGCTGGTCTTCCAGATCATACCTAAGCATCCATTCGTCCGCAGAAAGGCCTGCGGCGTCAGCACGCATGTCGAGGGCCTGGATGTCCTCAAGGAGGACCTTCTTCCGCTCACGGATGTCCCGACCTACGCTTGCACCCCATCCTTTCATGAATTGGCATGACCGCTTGGCGCAAAAGTGCCAGTTGTCGGTGACCGAGAGGGGCTGATGGGGGGCATCACGCGCCTCGCTCCACCAGGCGACCACCGCGGCGGTAAATCCCGGCTGCCGCAATGAGAAAGTTTCGAACCGAAAGCGGGGCGTCAGGGGGGACGCTCATTCTCCGAAGAGAGGAGGGGGACGTGATCTGAACCAATCCGCGTAATCACCCAAAGCGAGGCTAGGGGGCAGCGAATGTCCCACTCAGGGGAGACGAAGACCCTATCGAGGACAGAGCGAGTCGGCTCAACTTGTCGGTTTGTCCAAGTGAACCTGGCCCCGACCCGATCGAGCTTGCGAAGCCCCATGTTAGCGATGCAGTCATTGAACATCTGCATCCGAGGAAAGTTCACCAAATTATTGCTCTTGTCTTCTTCCGACCGAATGAGGTTGAAGTCGCCTCCTACCACAACCGGTAGCTGGGCGGCCGCCAGCTTCCTACGGAGTTCAGCGAGGAAGGCCTCAAAGCGGCGGTGGTCGGCCGGGCCATAAACCGCAATGATTTCCCATTTGAAGTTTAGGGCCCGTTCGAAAATCTCCATGCTAACGAAGAACTCGCCCCGGAATATTAATCCTCGGAAACTGAATCATGGAATGCAAATATTAATCTCTACTGTGTTAAGGATAACTGAACAGAATTATACAAGCTCTTATTCCAATAATCATTTGCTATAATCACCGATTGGGTAGGAAGATTGAATGAACTGCATTTCCTTCCTTTTGTTCTAGCTTATCTAGACAGCGTCTCTTCAGCCTATACGGTACCAGAATTCAGTGGAACCTGGTAAATCAAACTTGTATGTGTATCAAATCTGCTCTGATCATTAGGGGAGCATCACTTCTTATTTCCAGCTTGACAAAATGTTTTTCTTCGCAGTGAGCAGGCACTTTATGATGTTTACTGTTTATTGCAGGACCAAGATGCACATAAACACCGACAAAAATGTAAGCAAAGATCATCACGCAGGCAATCTTGCTTCCAAAGCATATATCAAATGGACCACACAGCAAGTACTACTTAATCAAAGCAGGTCAATGTATCCACATAATGCCTGTTGGCTAATTGTGGCGAGAAATTAGGTAAGGAGGGAAGGGGAGGTTGACAAATTAAAAGATTCACTCATACAGGTCCACTTGTGCAAGCTACAAAGATGAGTGTGGTTTTCTGTAGCTCAGGCTATATGGTATATGTTGTTTCATTTTAGAGAAACAAAAAAAGAAATCTTTTTGCTGTAAGTTAGTTGGAGAGTAAAGCAAGGCTGGAGGGTTGAGGATAAGGGGTTCCATGTAGCCTGAGCTACAAAGGAACTTTGCGTACAAAGATGACCGATCTCCATGAGAAATTGTCAAAATGAAAGAACCTTCAGCAAAGAAGCCCATTCCTGCATCGCAGCAACCGGAACACAATGCTAGATACCTGTAGAGCAATTGATGTTATTAGTCAAACCGATTTGTACTGTCCATTCATGGAAAAGATGAAGTTGCATAATTTGTTCTTTGTGATTTAGAAAGTACTCCCTCCGTTCCAAAATAGACGACTCAACTTTGTACTAACTTTATATTAAAGTTAGTACAAAGTTGAGTCGTCTATTTTGGAACGGAGGGAGTAATTATCAGCTTCACCAATTGTACTACTAAAAAAGTGGAATCATCTCAGCATTATTGGAAAAAGATAAAAATATAAACAAATAAGAGTGATAGGAAGAGTGGAAGACAGTTAATTCGTGAAGCCACGTCTTCCACTTCTACGGTTACCACATCCTCAGGTTTGTTGCCACATCTGATCTCAGAGAATAATTCATAGTGGCTATTCAGATTTAAACAAATATATTGCATGACTATTGTTGGAAAAAATGGACTTACCACTTGCAGGACTATCCTAAAAGTTAAGAGAATAAACAGTGTTGTAAATTTCAAACCAACTCGCTATTATGGCAAAGGTAGCAATACTGAATAGAAACAATAAATTGCTTTAAGCTTCTAAAGGTGCATACATAGGAGATATCTATTTGATATTTTGGTTGCTTCAAGCTAGTTTTTCAAGTAGTTGTCTCCAACTGTTATACATCTCATCTTGTAGAAAAGAACTTAACCGCCACCCTAAACTGATGAGAAACTTTCCCAACTCTGACTTCAACCACATTGTCCAATGGTGATGTTAATAAAAATATGAGAATATTAAAAACAACTTGGCATCATATATACTATTTACCAACAATACAACAGAATGGTGCCAGCACATCACCTTATTGGTTGAGAAAAACTGCAATGCATCTATATGCTCTAGCACTACAATTATACAGTTCTTGCATATGTCAACAAGCAGACAACAACGAAATTTAGTTCAGTTATAATATAAAAGAATTTTCCAAATTGGCCACAGAAACAGAACTGATGGCATGAGCTAAACTAGATATCAGAAACTAATATGTTTCCAAATCATAAGAATTACATAAACACCACCACACAACCATTGGGACAGAACAAAATTGCTATGTGTTGAAGAGATCATATCAAGAAGCAAAATATAGACGACACTACTTAAAATTGTTAGCTTAACATGAAAGGATGTGAAAGGCATTCCATCAACCCATTATCAAAGAGCAACATGGTTTTGTTATACTGGCAGTGCAAAGACATAATATTACCTGCAGCATAGACACTTTCAAATGGATAATAGTACCATTTGCTGTTGTCGGAAACTTTCTTGAACTGTAGTGACTCAATCTGGACAGTGGAGATGATGTTGATATTGACCCGCAGGATCACCAAATTATTATCCTCAGCAAAGCCATGTGTGGTTACATACCCCTCTGAATCCAAGGATAGTAGCTTGTCCAATTCAACAGTTCTTACTATCCCCCACGATGGAACACCATCTGTGATGGTGTTCCTCTTCCATAATTGGGCGGTGAAGCCTGACAAGGAGAGTAAACTCAGCTCACCATCCTCTGCCCGCATGAGTGTGAAGCCATCAAAATCAGACATATTCACTGGCACCGGTATCACGGCCAGGCTCTCCCCCTCCAAATCAAACTGAAGGATATTTGACGAAGTACCATAAAGCATCGAGTAAATGGAATGCCCAACCAGCACACCCAACACATCAATAGAAACCAAGGTCCCGGATGGAATCGGTGTTGGGATGAGATTGCCCCACGCCTCGGTCTTGGAAGAGTAAACGCAGGCCAGCGCTCGCCATTCTTCCATCTCGTGGTCGTCTGTTACCAAGACGATCTGGAAGTGGACGTCCCCGGGAGCAGCGCGGAGCACCGCCCCGCAGATCACTGACCTGAACCGATCGAATCCCGTGGGAATGGATACGCGGTGCTGGTGGCCGGTGACGGGGTCCCATACCAGCAACTGGAACCTCGTCGTGTCGAGGATTAACACCAAGGCCGTGGCGGCACCCGAGGACACGGAAGTAGTCGAGGTCGGACTGCAAGGAGAGGCGCCCGGGGGGAACACGATCTGGGGCCTCCAGAGTAGGCTCGAAGGATGGGCCGTCGGCATCTGCCTGGATGAAGCCGAGGAGTGGAGCGTTGCGGCGGTGGTGGAGGCGGAAGCGGCGGGAGAAGGCTGGGTCGGAGATGAGGCTGCGCCAGCGCCTGCAGACGGCGGAGGCGCGGGGGAGGGAGGAAGGGAGCGGCGGCAGGCGGAGGAGGATCTCGGAGAGCAGGTTGTCGTCGTCCAGCGGCAGCGCCGCCGCCGCCGCAGTCGGCAACATCTCGCCCTCCTCACAGCTTATACGGCAGCCGCCACGCCATGGAGTGAAGTGCGGGTGACGTAATAAGGTGGGTGACACTGGACCTGCTGCCAGTGCGAGAGAGAGATGGAAATTGATCAAGCCCACGGGAAGAGAGCCCATGAAGACACCATGTCTGCGTTGTGGACATCAGCCTGGACCACAAGCCCATAGAAAGCACACACGCATTTGCCCTTTTTTTGCTTGTTTTTAAAAAAAGGAGGAATACCCCCGGCCTCTGCATCTCTTGATGCACACAGTCTTTTTTCTGTGCTTGTGGTTTTGCTAGCTCTTGTTATTAGCACTGCTTGATGGTAGTAGTCTACTAACGTCATCTTTAAGAGAATCAGATGCATTGTGCGTAATCTCCATTTTTAAATGGTAGACTGGCCTTTTCATGTGGTTCATGCTTGCATTCTTTCAGCCAGTGGCGAATCTTGGGACAAAACGAAGGGCAGGCTCAAACTTAACGAACGAAGGATTTTGGACTAGACAGGATTGTGACTGTGTGGGTTTGATGGCTGCCGCTGATTGCCTAGGCTGGGCCT